CCTTTAATAAATATGCTTTTTGCTAAGGATCTATTGTAACTGATATCCCATAGTTGCATTGAATTTTTTAATCTAACATAACTGCATATACATTATATTCTGCTTAACATGCTTTTAGAAAGCGATCTGCTTATACTTTGCATCATCAATCTAAAAAAATTGGCCGCAGAATTAGCATGAGTGAAATATAAAGATTCTGTAAATATAAAAATATTAATGACACTTAGAATATGTAACATATTGCTTTTGAAAATAGTAAAAGATATTTAACAAAGGGGATATTTAGTGTCTCCAAAGAAAAATATAGTGGAGCCTTAGCAAGAGCAGATATTCATCAACTGAATTTAATTATGGAAATTTTGGGTACTCCACGAGACGAGTTTATGAAAAAAATATCGTCAGAATCGGTAAGTTGTTTTAATTATTTTAGAGTAGTTACTTTATCTACTATAGCATGTGTGAAATGCACGTTTTATACATTTCACGTAAGATGTGAACTGTGCTTGATCTTTTTTCTTTCTCGTTAACATATGAAATAAATGATAAAAATGAATATTACATCTTGGCAAATTCTCAAGTTTAACATATTGCAATATTTCATTTTTAATATTCTAGTATAACAAATGATCTATACTTTGATAAACTATATTTATGGATAACATAATAATTAAAAGTAGTATGTATTTTTATATCATTACTAAATTCATAGAAAATTCAAGCAATATAAATTTCAAGATAATAATAGAAACTGTACATAGTATACATTAACAAGAAAATTTTAAATTTTATATGAATTTTATATATGCGAATATATATTGATTATTAAAGTTAAATCTTTTTTTTTTACATTTAACGTCTATTTAATTCACGCTGCTTCATAACAAATATGCAGCCTGCCTTAGATGCAATCACTTACAAGTTGTGGGAATGGTTTTATGTATTTAGTGTTAATAAGACTACTTTTTAATTGTTATTTAATTAATACTGCTTTTTCAAACATACCTTAACCATAAGCAGACATTGATCATCTAACACGAGTGTTAGTACTCTGTGGTACACCCACAGAAGAAACATTAAGCAAAATTACTAGCCAAGAGGTAAATTTATTTTTCAAGTCTACATACATATTAAACTTTATTAAGATTTAAAATTTAGTCATAAAATAATAGAAATATAAAAAAATAATAGAAATATAAAATAATAGAAATATAAATGTGTACTTTCAAAAAATAGCTTTTAAAATTTAAAATAATGATTATATTTATATTTTGTTTATATAATATTTTAGATTATAAATTTCATAATTTCGCTATTATAAAAAATATTTCTTTAACTTTTTGGAGATATATTTGAAGATAAATGTGTAAATGAATTTATATAGAGAAAGTATAATGCATACGTGTATAGAATATATATAGTTTATTTTGTAAAAAAATGATGGTATGATTTTCTGCCATAATTGAATTATTGTTACAGGCCAGGAATTATATTCAGAGTTTACCGCCGTTAAAGAAAAAGAATTTTAAAGATGTATTTCGTGGAGCTAATCCTTTAGGTAAATAAAAAAAATTTCTGACCTCTTACGTTTGAGATACCTGCCGAATGATGCATATAGAATCATATTGAATTTTTGTTTAGCTATTGATTTGCTGGAACTGATGTTGGAATTGGATGCAGAAAAGAGGATCACAGCGGAACAGGCTTTAGCACATCCGTACCTTGCACAATATGCAGATCCAACAGACGAGCCCGTTTCTCTACCATACGACCAGAGTTTCGAGGATATGGATCTTCCAGTAGAGAAATGGAAAGGTAACGCATTTTACTAATGCTTAATTTTAACTTAAAGCATTATCACATTGTGGATAATTGAATATTTTGACTTGTAGAACTTGTGTACCATGAGGTCGTAAACTTCGTCCCACAGCAGCTACCTACATTGTCTTCGACAATTGAAACGACTTCTTAAGTGCTTCTTAAGAATAGTTATTAACGCGCGCGTAATATATATTTAAGCACAGTAAGATACAATAATATAGATTAACAGAGAATCATGAGTGAAAGATATATACATATATAATTGTTATACACAAAAAAATTGAAAAAAAAATACTGTATATAATTTATAAATAACGTAGTATACGTAGCATAGTTGATTAGTCGAGCTAATCTGTCCAGAAGATAGGATATATATTTTTGTCGAAAAGAAAACTAAACCCTGCTATTTAACTATTGCGTAATTCGGTTATCAATTGATTATCAGTAATGTCTATTACACAATAATTCTGTTGTGTATAAATTTTTTATAGTTCTTTTATCAAATATCATTTCTTTTAGTCCGTGAAAGAAATTATCATGCAATTAATTGTTTTTATAAAATAATCGATTATTATCATATATAAATTATGATGAACCTTGCCATATAATACAATCAAAGTAAGTAGTATCAGATATATTAGATGTAGTTTTAAACACCTAATAATAATATTGCAATTGTAGTACTTATTATTTTTTAATCGTGCTACTAAATCAAAAAAATGCAATATATTTCTATAAACTATAAATCCGCCCGCGTTTGTGCAAACTTAACAAGGTGACCAATATTCGCTGAAATTAAGAAAAATGCAAAATTCCTACTGCAATAGGAAAAACATAAATTGTAGCAATAAAGTGGAATTGAATATAGCATTTTATTGTAAATTAGGAAATGCATACTTGATGAACAGCAAAGAATTGCCATGTAAACATAATTGATTATAAAATTTACAAAAAAATAAATGTACAATTTATATTTATACTGCTAATGTGTGATATGAAAAAGAAAATATGTATGAAGATATATTTGAAATTGATAAGTGAGATTTAATACTTTATTCTTCCCTTCCAAACCTTTCATTTATTTTTTAATATACCATGTATCATTCATCTTTTTCTTCTATTTCTAAATTTCTGTGTATTTGTAATCGATCAGTACAATGAACAGGCGTATTGTAACGTTTGTGATACATTTTCTTTGGCAGCCACACACGCTCCTCAAAAATTATCAACTAAATGCAAATTTTGTGTCTAAGCTTGCGTTTAAATATATTTTTTAATATATTTTCTTGATGCTACTAATGAAAAAGGTTAAATAACCTAATTGATTTATCATAAAATATATAATTTTTTAATATGCCAAATGCATGGACTGAGGATGACACTGAGAAATTAATAGCACTTTATGGACAATATCAATGCTTGTGGAACCGATTCCATCCCGAGTTCAATAACAAATCATTGCGTTACGAAGCGTACAAGGAGATAAAAGACTCGATTAATATTCCTGGGTTAACAATATGTGCTTGCATTAAGAGGATCGCGAAAGTAAAGAAGGAGTACTGTTATGAGCTATCAAAAATCGCTGCGGCTATATGCTGCGAAAAATTATACGCGCCAAAAGTGAAATGGTTTAAGAGAATGCATGTGCTCTTCTTTCCGTACATGCCAATATCTCATTATAATAATTTCAAAAAGGTATGCTGCAGCAGAATAATATATATGAGAAATAATTATACAGTTTGATTGCTAAATTAGACTTAATAAATACTAGTAATTATATAATCGTAAATATCATTGGCTTTTAATATCATTATTGTAAGTTTAATCAATGTTTTGTCCATGTCGTTTTTATATCTATATGATATATGTCAGTAATATATTTGCAGCAAGATAACACCTATCAAAAATTCGATGATAGCAGTATTCAAAATAAATTTTTACATTCATCTTTCGAGGAGTCAAAGAGCAAACAGATTTGCTCCAATAATACCTGCGGAACGTGTGATCTCCAAGAGATCGAGTTGTGCTTGAAATTGAGGTCATTTACTATTTATACATTTTGCGTATAACTCTAAAAAAAAAAACATAAAATAAAATTACAATAATATATTTTTCAAGTGCAGAGATACCGCTCATTCTGCTCCGAAATTGCAAGATACTCTCGTCCCTTCTGCAAGATCAATCCAAATGGTTGATGTAGCGACAGAAACGAGTAATGGTATTATCGTAGAACACGAAACGCATACGGATTTGCTTCATGTTAGAAACGAATACGAGAGACATATTAAATAAGTATAAGATACAGATACTTTCAGATTATATTGTTATAATGTTGTAATGTTGATATAGGAGCGAAAATACGTCGCAGGTGACAATAAAGGGAAAAAGGTTTATATGTACTAAATAACAGCGAGTAATTAATAATATTTATTTTTCAAAAGGAAAGGAGGAAAAGAATATACTTATAAAATCTTTTGTAACAGGATCGTTCTACGTGTACAGATGATATTCCTACAGAAGTGTATGGCAGAAGAAACATTGATAACTTTGATATATTCGGGAAGAGCATAGCGTTCCAATTGCGGACTATTGATATTCGTAAGTGAAAAATCTGTTAATTGTAGGGAATAATTGTTATCGAATTAGCATAATTTGTTTTTAGACACTGCTGTGGAATTGGAAAAGGAAATACAAAATTTGATGACAAAAGCGCGATTAAAAATCTTAGAATCTAAGCTAACGTGTCAAAGTAGCAGCTCAATTTGCTGTTGTGATTGTAATGATGACTGTCAAGTAATGTGTAAAGATGAAACTTGTAGCTGTGGTCTAACATTAAAGGAATGTTTATTACTTGCTAAAATTAAAGAAAATATGGATTATGGATTTTGTTACAAATAATAGGCGAAAGAAGGAAAGAAATCTTAGCAATATTGAAATACTAACGCGTGTTTGCAATCAATCTTTTTAAGTTTATAATTTAAAACTAGGTTTATATATGAGAGTGATATATATATTGATAGAAAATAAATTTTCTAGTAAATTAATAATAAATATATATGGTAACATAAAATAAAAACAATAAAAATATTAATAAAAAATGCAAATAATATCTTTTTTGCTGACAATATTTTTATTAATGTGTAGAAAAAGTATTTTGTAAGAAATATTTAAGTAAATAATTATAAAGTAATTATATTATATTAATTAGTAAATTGTATTATATTAATTAGTATTAATTAACATATTAATTAGTAAATTGATTATACTGATTATTTATTATTTAATTCAAACAGAAAACTCATATATCGAATATTGATATAAATAGATATATTCACTTAAAATTGTATAAAGAATTGCAGTTTCCTTCATGTGATTGTCATGCAAAATTGTACAAGTTTTCTGTTCGTAGAATATGTAAAGCTTCCGTATTGTTGTTGATGAAATAAATAATTATGTCTTTTAAGTGGAACGACTATTCCACTCTAGTTTTTTTAAATGCATACCGAAAGCACCAATGTCTTTGGAATCTGCATTATGTGAAATATTACGACTGTTTAGCCAAAAATGATGCACTGAAGAATATCATTAAAGAACTTAATATACCAAAATTGAACATATCCGATTGTCTAGAACAGATTAAAGTGATAAGAAAAAAGTAAAAGCAATAAGAGAGAAAGATAAATGATAGAAATTTTTATTTATTTTACAAAAAGATTTATATGCGAGTTTTACTCATCTAGATTGAGTCACTTTTAAAAGTGTTACTCTTATCTTAGATACGGGCGAGAGCAAACAAGAGTTATCAAGGGATTTCAATCGGGCAAACCATACAAATCTCCTTATGCTTGGTTTCCTGTAATAGCTGAAATGTTAACACAGGTGATTGACGATGAAGGCAAGTTACAGGTAAAATATGCAATATAATTTAGATGTACGTATAATTCACGCAAGGGATACATTTTGCATTAATTATTTCAAGAAGGATATGTTATCATTTTTTTTAAATTTTTATGAATTGGATTTAAATGAAATTACATCAACACTAAAGGGTTAAATAATTTAATAAACTATATTATTATGGACAGAATGGAATGGAAGTAGAAACAATATCTCCTGTAAAAGATTGCATTACAACACCATACGACAAATATAAAAATATATTTAACTTTCCTTGCATGCAAGAAAGGCAAGATCATAAGACAAAACCAAGAAAAAACACTAAATTTACAAAAACTGGTAAAGAAATATTTAAGAAGTAATCATATCTGTTTTAAATTTGCTGTTATTAAATGTTAAATTTATTTATTGCATTCAAATGCACTATGTATGTCAGGGAATTTTGATATATTAGGTCGTAAAAGCGAAGGGCAGAATGACGCGCAATTGCTGCAGTGTCCATCCTGTGGTTGGGAAGATATAAAACCTGACAGATTGGATATACCTGCCAAAAAAGCTTATAAAAAAATAAAATCATTGGATACCACGGTTCCTTGTCCAGAATATTCTAATTTAGCGAATAAACCTTACGAAAGATACAAGGCACATCGAATAGGAGATACCATATACCAAGGAAAATACAATAATATAATTCCATGTCCAAGCTTTCCTAGCAGATTATCAAGGTATACAGGCTATTCTGCAAACATATTAACAACTCACACATACTGTTCGCAAGGCACTCGTAATTACATAAATCAACAGACAACACCGATAACAATTGTTACGTCCCGTCCAGACCAAAATTCTGTACGAGAGAAACGCAATTATCAAGCGAACAATTATTTCCGGAAAGACGAGCAAAGGAAGCAGGGACGAGAGACGGGCAACGCGATAAGAGAATACAAAACACAGTTTGCGTGTCGAAAACTGTTAGACGAAAATGCTGCAGAAAGATCCAAACTAAACCTTTGACATCTCAGGACGAGTTAAAGCAAGCAGCAGTAAATACTATAAAACAATTGTGTGATAAGGAGATTCAAAATACCATCTGTACGAGTTTAACAAATGATTGCCAAGCTTCTCAAAAGTATTCTTCGACACAGGAACTAAAGCAAAATGATGCGAATATTGTGGAATGCCCTGCTAACGATGCTATGCGAAATACCATTGGTATTAAATTAAAAGTAGAAGGCTCTATGCCGAATTCTATATTAATAACTACCGACGGAAATGATTTGCCACTGATACAAAGAGATTTAAAGGAACTGACAACTAACAAATGTCAAAAAGATATTGATAATTATGATGTGAAAGGTTTTAAATCTCAAGATATATATTGTCAATTAAATTATTTCAAATTAAATTTTTCTTCTTCAAATATTTAACTATTAATCTTATTAATACAAGTAGTGCGATTTGCTTAATTGAAGAAAAATATAAATATAAATGGTTTATTAATCTACTTTATTTTTCTTAAGAAGCGGAAAAATATTTATAAATATCTTATTAATCTACTTTTTTTTCCTTAAGAAGCGGAAAAAACTCGTCTTGCGTTAGATGATAAGAAACTCGTTGAGAATGAAGTTTGTTTTAAAGAAACTTGCTCTCACGACGTAATAGAGATTATCAAACACAATTCTGCAGTAATGCAAGCTTTACTTCAATGCTTGGAAAAAGTAGTGCAAGAAAGAACAAAAATTTGTTCCGTTACGTCGCTATTATCAAAGAGACATAACGTAAATTCTAATTGTAAGTAATGATTATTCTTTATAACAATGTATAGATTTAATTTATTCTATGATTGTACATATAATTCGGTGTATATATAACATTTTTTTACACAGCTTCCGAGATGACTGTTTGTGAGCAAATTCCGTATAAATTTACAAAGGAGAACACACATCTTGACACTAGCTCTTCTGTTGATCTAGAAAGCTTAAATTGTTCATCGTGTTTGGAAAAAACGGAGAAAGATGACATCATAACAATGGTTACCAAAACTTTCCTGGATCTAATGAAACATGCTCTTGTACAGAATGATAAAAATGGTAGGTATTTTTGAACCTTTTTTTTGAAATAATAAATTTTATATATAATTAATGTATGTAATGTATTAAGGGGACTAATTGTATATTAAAAAAGAGTAAATTAATGTATATTAAAGTTGTTTATTGTGATCTTCTTCAGTGCGAAAAGGCTGTGTAAGGAAGGAAGATGCGATTAATACGTTTATCGTTTTAAGTAAAATAAAAGAATGTGCGGATGAAATTTTGAAGATATACACGCTCGTGGATTGTTCGAAGAGGCAGTTATTAAATAAATTTTATCGCACATTAAAATCGAAGAGTAAATGTGCGTGCTCCTCGAAGCAAGACTCTGCTTTAAATTCGATTCAGGCTCAAGGTGCCAAAGAGGATGCCGTGGATCAGTTCGCAGCCTCTTATGCAGACTCGAAAGACATAGAAGTACTGTATGGACCCTCCACGTCGAAAACTAGAGACCACAGTCTCTCGGAAAATGGCACTACCTATGCAGAGACAGTGATGGAGGATAAAGATGTTACCGCGCGTACGGAGAACCACGACGTCGGTTTGAATGCAGCGTCACTGTCGCGGATTCAACCGCTTCGCGATTCGGAAACTCAATATACCCCGAGTCAATTGCAAGACGCGGGTATCGTAACCGATCGCAGTTTTGAGGAGAGGATAAGCGTGGCCACTCAAAATCGCGAGCCTATTTCGATTCGCGTAATCAAGTCTAATAATAGCGAGGGTATTCTAAAATTGGACAAGGAGACATGCGTCCGCGATGCCCACGTTCTATGGAACGCCGATAAGTGGTCGAGAAACACGTATCAGAAGTATTCAGTTAGAGAATATTACGATGAACTGTCACACCCTGGCATTTCTCACGTGCGCGAGAAAGAGGTGAATTCTATAGACTACCGTACGTTTCTTTTGTCGAACGGGAATCATAGATACAACAAAGGATACAGAAGGTCATTGCCGTGCAATCGCAACTGGGCTAGAGGGAATATTCCAAATCTTGGATTATCGTTGAGTCAACGTGTTTCCCGAATTCCATCGTATACGAAATCACGCAAATATGTACGGAGAAGGACCGATTTGTATAGAATGTCACAGTCATATGTATAAGCGGTACTTTTAATTCGTGTGAACGCATTATGATTTCAACGTGAAATATATCATACAAATAAATTTTACAGTTCGACAATTAGTCTTCTGTCAAGGTAATTGAATAAATTACGATTTTTAATTCAAATCTCATTTTATTACATGAAAATGTACAATATTTTCACAATTAGAATGGACATTCCTAATTGTAAAAGGATACATATCTGTTGAGAAGAATTAAAGCAAACTCTCACGTATGTGATATATATAGTATCAATATTTAAATTTAATAAAATAGTATAAAAGAGACATTTTTCTCATATTGTTCGTTTTTACATACATGTGTATATAGTTTTAATGCCTTATATATTTCATTTCTTATAGGATTTACAAATCAATAATACAATAATTTAAGTAATGACATTAATCAGATGTCCATTATTTAACTTGAGAACATTCATTTCTTCTTTATGTAAAAGTATGATATAATGAATAAATAAATAAAACAATTCCGTTAATTTTAGATGCACGCTACAAATTGCTATAACAAATATGTTCTAACATATATATACTTACATAATAGTGAAAATTGCATATTGTACTACAAATAACTTGATAACAAATTTTAAAATCAGGTAATAAGCCTAATAAGTTACGTAAGATGTACTATCAAAAATTGGCAAAAAATAATAATTCTGATGCCTGCTAATTAAATCAGTATATCTTATCGTTCATGACGATAACAATTCAGATTAAAGATAAATAATTCGCAAATAATGTTGTCTTTATAAATAATAAATGAGAACGAAGTTCTACATGGACATTTGCAAAATTTTTTCCGTTTATTTAAAAGTGCACAATGAAAAAAATGATAGGTATGATATATATATATATATATATATATATATATATATATACATATATGTGTGTGTGTGTGTGTGTGTGTTCAAAAATTCAACCGACAAACTTAAAAACTTTCAAAAATTGTCGGGAGCACCAAAAGAACGATTTTTTGCAAATGGATCTAAGGTCGGAAGTGTGTCGTTACACCTCTACGGCAGACAGAGTTCGAAAAATATCTCAAAAAATATAAGTTGTAGAATAAAGATCTTTTTACACCCTACAACTATTATCTAAAACAATTTTTTTATAAAAAAAACTTATATTTTTTTAGATATTTCGAGGTCCGACCTTTTTCGAATACTGTCTGCCGTAGCGGTGTAACAACACGCTTTCGATCTTAGGTCCATTTGCAGAAAATGATCCTTTTGATGTCCCTGACAATCTCTGAAAATTTGTCGGTTGAATTTTCGAACACTCTGTATACTATATGTATATATATCGGTTGTTTTACATCAATTAAATAACATTGTAATTTTTATAAGACACACTTTTTAAAAATCCAATATAAGTTTCACTCTTAAAGTATGTATGTATGTGTACATATATATATGTATACATACACATATAAGTATTGTACTTCTCTTCAATATTTGAGGATTTATTAAGAGTCACATAACTCTTATTATCTGACTAGCTTTAAATAGTTTTATTTCATCATTAATAAGTAGTCAATGCTCGCTTGTAACGAAATTATAAGATGTTTTATTAGAAAAAGAAATAAGATTTGATTTGTTTCGATATATTTGCGTTTTGCAATATTTGAAGATGTATATCATGTTTACCACGGTTGGGAAATAACGCGTTGCTTGTAACGTCGTTACCATTTTCGTTACTTTTTTCCAATAAGTATAAAAAAGTATTAAAAAAGTTAACGATGAAAGTAACAGCAAATTTGTTACCATTATTGTAACAATGTTATTGTTATAAATGAAAAAAATAATAACGATAACATCATAACATTTTTACAGTAATGGTAACAATTGTAACAAATTTGCTGTTATTTTTATAGTTGCTTTTATACTTTTATTTTTTTATTTTGCAATATATTTTTAATTTTTTGGAAAATATTTTGTACTCTTCTCTTTTAAGATCCGATAGTTACTATAACTATTGAAAATCTATAATTCACATTACTAATACTATAAATTTTCAGTATTAATAGTGATTATTAGAATGCATTCTTAATAATGACATTAAAAACAATAAATTTAATCTAACTTTTTATAAAAATAAATAATATAATGAAAAGCTTGCTCTATGTACAAACTAGTTTACAAAATTTAAAGTTTTAATATTTATTATTACTTACATTTAATAATTATCAAATAATATAAATTTAAAATCAAATTAAACTCATTTTAGTATTATAAAAAAATAACGAAAAAGTAACGAATCGTTATCTTTTAAGTAACAGTAACGCGTTACTTTTTTAAGGTACCGTTCCCAACTCTGGTATTTATTATTATTTAATTTGCTTTTTTTGCATCCGCTTTCTCGTCTTTAACTTGACCACGACCCAACAATTTAGCCAGCGAGTCCCAAATTCCTCCCAGGAATAAGGCGCAGAACAAATTTTCAAACGGTACAAATGGATCGTGAATGCCAAGCAAAATTGATGATAACTAAAAAAAAAACGATAATTGTCATTAATATTATCTTACTTTACGCATGATAAATGTATAAATTTAAGGATTTATTTCAAGATGTAAAACTTTACCTTGAAATAAACGAAGAAGATGACAATGCCGAAGTACACAAGAGCATGAGGTGCAGAAATGAGATCAGTCTTTTTGTCTAGCACAAAAATAATTGATGCAACCATGGATGCTTTTGTGGCGCTGTAAAAAAATTATTCGTTATCATTACATTTATTTGTTGGTTAAAAACATGATAATAGATTATAAATTTAAGCATTTGTTCATATAAACATTATAAATTTTACGTACAAACTGGGTTGCATGAATTCCATCGCAGTCGGTGTCCATACGCCACGTATAAGACGCTCAAACAATTTTGTAAATCCAGCTGCGTTACCTGTATAAATGTTACAATTGCAATGTTATAATGCGTTTAACTGTTAAATATATTAATCTATTTTATAGCGTGCGTTTACATGTATATTCATATTTTAGTTGTGAAAAAATAATGTAACATATATTCCATATCTTATGACCAACCTTTGAGCGTTCCAATCAATATCATAATAAGATATGCATTTGGATAAAGTTTTCCTGCGTGAGTCACTCCATCGTACACCTTTTTACACCTATAAAAAAAAATAACATAGACAATTTAATTTATACGCACGATTTGGACGTCTTATTTTTTTTGTAAGGAATATTTAACTTGCCTGTAAATTTCTTTCATAGCAGAACATACTATTTTTACTGGTAAAAATTTGGCTACTTTATAACCAATGTCGAACGGTGTGTAAAATATCACATACCTGAAACATTTAAAACGGTTTCCTTTTAATAATACAAGTTATTCTATTTAATATTTAAAATCAATAAAAATTTTTATTGATATAATTAATTTCTTTAAATTTTAAAAACAGGATTCTGTAATCATTTTTTGAGTAATTTCCGTGAAGTTGATATAATCGCAAATAAATAATAGAGTTTACAAAACACAAAGCGATACAACGGGCTACACAGGTATTACTAACCACACAATAGTTGCAACTACCACTTGTGGTGTATTTTTCAAAGGTGCAAGAATTGGTTCTCCTAATAATCCATTGCACAGCATACCGCTTGCAAAAACGACCAACATTGTAGACAGCCAACATGATAAAGGATGTTTACGAGAAAATGCTTGTGCACCTGAATATATAAGATCATAATTGTTACACATTATTTGCGAAAAATCTAACTATATGTAGAATTAAATTTTCTGACATCTATTATTATTTATAACAGCGTATATTTTAAATTCAAATTAATATAAAGAAGCTATAAGAACTATGAGAGGATCGAAACGTTTGTTATATTAAATAATAAATCCAAGAATTTTTGCACGAACATCTAGCGTTAGCTATTATAGCCCTTTCATGTTAATTTGAATCTTGAATTTTCTTAGGCTTTGTAAATTAAGATTTTTAAATAAAAAATTAAAAGACATAATTATCTAAAATTATATATACATTATGGTATAATTTAGGACAAAGAATCATTTGTAAAATAATCATTTTAGAAAACATTTTTACCGTAAATTTTTGAGCTATATATGTAATAGACATTAGACTTTATTACAGTGTGGAATGTTGAAGATACAGATTGATTGAGATAAGTCAGTTATAGAGAATCCATACAAGTATAACACATTCCATTTATGCGAACAAAGATGTGCGAGCTACTATCAATAAAAATAATGAAACATTCGTCGATACAAATTATGAAATACTTTAAGCTTAAAGGATTTAACATTTTAAAGAAACCATAAGTTTCTGTTTGTTTTTAATCTTATACTCTTCATTAGAAAGTTAGTTTAAAATCTATTTTTTAAAGAAATCAGATTTTTCTTAATACTGACTTAATGCTAAATTAATTAAAAATAAATACTATAAAAGTGAAGAAAAAAAAAAGAATGATTGCTCCTGTTCTTATTTATTACTATTTTAAGATATCTGTAATTTTATCCAAATCAAAAAGCAAAACAATTTCTTTATAAAATAATCCAATTCAAATTTTATATTATAAATTTAATAGTAGCAATTTATAATAGAAAAAGGAAGGTTTAATAAATAGATAATCTTTTATTAAATTGGCAAAGAGCATATCTTAGAGAAGTTGCTTCCGAAAGTGCCTTTATTTTGAATACTTCTAGCTCTGTGCGAGCACGGTGCATACTGAAATAGATTAGCTGGGTTGTCTGTGTCATTGCCTTGAGATAGAATTATATGATAATTGTGCCAGAGACACAAAATCAGCTCTTGATCACTTTTGGTCTTGGTATGCTCCTTAATAATATATTACTTTTATCTCTATTTGTATTATATTTTGTTATCATTTATCATGCTCTCTTTATCATGCTTCTCAAACAAATACAAGCTGTCAATTGAAAAGTTGTGGAAACCACAAGTTGTGTCATTTTGTATAATAAAAATGGAACAAGAATGAAATAAATCACTATTCTATAGAAGAAATCAGTTCTATTTATTGTATTAACACATAGTATAAAAAAAATTTATAAATTTGAGAAAATTAATATTATAAAGAAATTGAATATTCAACTCGTTGGATAGCACATGGTATTCCTAGAAAACCTTGAAGACCATGAATAGTCACTTTTGTGAGAACAATTTAATTGGAATACTTTGAAAAGACAATTCTAGTTTTTAGGGTACATATCTATTCTAAATAATTTTAGTTTTGCTAGAATACACATTTAATAGTTTTCGAAACTCTTGAAATTTTCAAATGCCTTGTTTTTGAAAGCTTTGATTATTGTGTAAGTTAGAATGGTTATTTCGAAGATACATGATATTAAAAATTTTTTAATGTATGACCTATGCAAATGTTGAATTGTTGTCCTTTTCATAATATTTATTTTTACAAGTTTATATATATCTATATATATCTATATATATAAACTTAACTAAATATATATATATATATATATATATATATATATTTCTTTTAGAGTTAAATAATTTCTTTTTAAACTGAACAGAGTTAATCAACTATTTAAAATTTTATTTAACAAAAAAGAGATTAAAAATGATTTAAGTTCGAAATTTATTATTACACATTTGTATAAATATTAGATATAAAAATAAAATATTAGAGTTTTGTTTCATTCTGTTCATTTATTACAGAATAACCGCATTTTCCAATAATCTCTAGATATTGAAATAACTCTTCAATTATGCAACAGCGATTACGGCGTGCAATCAGACAAGAAATAATACGCGAGGTAGTGTTACGTAAACGAGAGAATTTTCGCGTTGTCGTTAGCGTGTATAATTCGATCTGCGAATTACACTCATCGAGGACGTCTGAAAACAGACGTGGTTGATTATTGTGTGTCACAGCAGTCTTCTACAATTTCGTGAAACGACGGATGGACAGATATCTCTCGCCTCGATTCTGTTATCAACATTACGCAATAACATTACGCTTAGTTTGCCGCGTTTTTCGCGAAACTCCGGGGAATAAGTACAGTCCTTCATTACTTATCAGTCCTTCGTTGTTTGCCGGTCATTATTTATTCAGAATAATTCAGATTATTTCAGAGCTTCAGCGAAATGTCTGAAGGCAGCGTAGCGCGTAGCTTGTCGATCCCGTCCTCGACGTGGGACATTTTTTTTTACTTTCTGGCGCTCATGAGATCGCAGCTGGGACCTCGCCGGCTGTGCCTCGCGTTAGAAAATTCGACGGAATGAGCGAAAACGCGAGGTAAAGAGTGGTAAAGAGAGGGAGAGGGGAAGGGGGGGAGACAGAGAGGGGGAGAGAGAGAGAAATCACGTCCGTAAATATAAGATTTCGGGAGAGCGTGGGACGCGGTCGCGCCACCGCCGTCCGGTGTCACGGGAATAGCGAGGTCACGGGGAAGCTGCTCCACGGAGAGTCAGAGAGCGGTCGCGCCGCGCCGCCGGAGACGCGCCGGGGAGCGGAGCGAAGCGGCGCGGCGCGTCGCGACGTCGAGGGAGCGTTACAAATTTAGAAACGCGGCCGGCCGCGGCGCGGCGACGCCTAAGTCTCACCGGGTCCTAGATCGTCCCTGACGTGCAGCGCGCACAGCACGCAGTGCGCTATGTCGAAGTACGGGAACATTTTCAGCTTGATGACCTGGTTGGCCATGTCCAGGAACGCCTCGGGATCCATGGTCGTACGGGGTTAGCTCGCTCGCTCGCTCGCCTGGCACCTATGTAATCGCACGACGTATCCCACGACGCGTATCACACGACACACCACGGCACGCACCTCGCGCGAGCACCACGACGCGTTAAATGCCTCCCTCGATTTCGCCGATTCAAACGCTCGCGACCGAGCGCCCGCGAGCGACGCCAGCTACGCGCTGTCTGCTACCGTCCCGTCGTCTGCTACTGACTAACCCAACCTCGCGCCGCGGTCGACGGAGATTTGTGAGGGAAAAAAAGGACAACACGATTTCTTGCCTTGCCGATCAGGTAGAGTGCCCGCGCAGCAGGGTTGTTGTTTCTTGAATTGCGTGCAGATGGCGAGGAAACACTGCGAGTACCTTAAGATTTCTGCATTGCCGATATAATAGTATACACTATACACATACATACATATATGTATAGACAAAATAAAATTTCTATATGTATTCTCGACTTTACTCATTTTATATCTACTTTATTTGCAGAAAGAATTTTGTTAAAAATTAAAATTTTAATGAAAAAATATAGACAATGAGGAAAGATTTAAAGCAGGGGTCGGTAAAATAACTGATACAACTTATTTAAAATAACAAATACAAAATAGATTCCAGAAACTTATTTAAAATAAAAGATCGCAGAGGTCAATAAAAAACTGATACGACTTATTTAAAATAAAAATATAAAATAGATATCAAAAATATATTTAAAATATTAAATAAGAAATA